GAAGGACATTTACGGTTTCTTGACTTTTAAAAAAGTTGAAATTATTGAAAAAACTGATGTGCGTGTGCACACAACTCAATTTCAAAGGACAATTCAATTTGAGCGACCTTTTTCAGATGTCAAGAAATAATTGAAAACCATTATTTGAAGTAAATTTTAGTGAGAATTCTACTAAAACAATTAGATTATTCACTCTCCATTTCTATGAGGTGATGGTTGATTCGGCCTTCGGCCTCATCAGCTATCACTTCATAGAAATCTTGAGCTCACAATTTAATTGTTAAATAGGTAGTGAGTAGCATATATGTAGCACTCAATCTAGTGTCTCTTTGTCAACAAAATGACAGCCGCTCCTAGCGTTTTCAAAGTGTCTGTGAAGAGGATTTAGATAAAGTTTTGAACGACTAGTAGAGTACTAAAGGTAAAGTCTGCATACGAGCCAAGTAGCCCATCAGGCCGGAGCTTATCCCGGTTTCTGTAGCATGAAGCTACTAGGAGTATTTCTACTCCCCCCTGGATGGGATGCTAGTCCATTGCAGGGTTACCCCCAGCATTAAGTTTGCCGGTACCCATTTATATACCTGGGTGGAGAGAGGCACTATGAGAGTAAAGTGTCTTGCCCAAGAACACAACACAACGTCCCCGGCCAGGGCTCGAACCTGGACCGCTCGATCCAGAAACAAGCACACTAACCATGAGGCCACCACGCCTCCCTTGTGAAGAGGATTTAGATAAAGTTTTGAACGACTAGTAGAGTACTAAAACAGTTAGATTATTCACTCTCGATTTCTATCCGTGATAGAAATCTCGAGCTCATAATCTAATTGTTTAATACATGTAGTGGTCGTGACTGTCGTGTGTGACTGCTACCTTGTCGTGGTGGAGAAACTTGTGAGTCTCAATGAACCTGGGAGCTATGCTGGCAAGATTTATTACTCCTGGTAGGGCCACCCACACCAGAAAGGTCAATGGTGAGAGACCAGACTATTCTCCCTGTCCTCTGGGTTATGGGGTTGGGCTGCAGACTAATCACTCACTTCCATAAAAATTCATGATTACAGAAACCACATAACAGCCTGACACACACTCCCCTGAGGTGTTAGAAGCATTAATAATAGTAGTGGTTTACAGTCATTTAACATGCGGCAGGAGCTGGCAAAAGAGTTTTGATGTGGATTACATTTTCAACATAACATTAAGAGTATCAGACTGAAATGAAGTACTTTCATGGAAAACGGCAAATACTTTAGAACTGTAACAATTATTATTAATAGGGTTTTACATACTCACCACACCATTCATTTGTTGGATTATGTTTATAATACTTCATCCACATGATAAAGCTTTCCCACATTACACTTTAGAGGGTACAAACAATAGCACCAGAATGAGGTGGACATTCTGATCCCAGGGGGGGGNTGCAGCCCGCTTTCTAAAACCCTTACCCTATTTATGACTAAAATCTGCAATTTTTCCCTACCCTATTTATGACCACACCAAAGATTCGATACCCTATTTATGACCATTGCGGCTGACACAGTTGCCCTAAACATAATGGTCTTATCAATGATGAAAGAGTAGCTTCCTCTAAAAAACATANTGACCACACCAAAGATTCGATACCCTATTTATGACCATTGCGGCTGACACAGTTGCCCTAAACATAATGGTCTTATCAATGATGAAAGAGTAGCTTCCTCTAAAAAACATACCCAATTCAAGACTAGAGTACAAAAACCATACCCTATTTAAGACCAAAATGGCCAAAATTGAGACCCTATTTATGACCAAAACTGCTGAAAAACCATACCCTTTGAGGCTGCACATGTACCTATATAGCTCATATAAGGGAGTACCCCCTCCCCCAGGATTCTGACACATTTCTTGCAGTTATGTTCATCCTCACAGTCTCAATTTGGCACCATTGCAACCTCATTCCCAGAGCCTCCCCTATTCCTGTCCCCTGGAGTGACAGAAAAGGGGGCAGAGAGAAGTCAGAGACCCTGGGAACAAGGTCAGCACCACTCTTCATTAGAATTTGAGAAAGGCCTGTTAAAGGACTCAGCAGCCTATAAGATATATCACTCATTGTCTTGAATACATGTCACTTTTGCCATCATGGTATAATTGGCTCATATACCATGATGGCTAAAGCCAAATTTGAAACCCTTGAATTGCATTATCCAGTGATCCAGTTTTTACATGTAATTAGATTATTTAGGCACTCATTGGAAGGAGGTCACTTAACTCAAACCATTACATATGGCATCTGTAAAAACACTTCTGAACACAAACACAT